TTTACGAAATTTTGTTTTTGAACGAGGAAAAAAAAAGATTGGATAGGGAAAACTCTGGTTCCCTTTCGAAGGGAACTCAACAATACGTCATTCGACGCTATGGGGAACGCCTCAGGCGTGACAGGTGTCTGAAATCACTATCAAATCACGTCAATCATATTGACCGGCGACAGCCCGTGAATCATTAGCGTGAATGATTAACGTGCGACCTGGAAGTATATAAGGGCGCCTTGCAAACATGACAAATCATCTCATCGTCTTCAGGGACTGTTTTGTATGAAACGCTACTCAAATTACGAGCAAAAAGGTAAGATGAAACGCACAGCAAAAGCAGATTGTTTTCGTAAGTGTGCCGACCCGTGTCCGAGATTTCTGACACCGGCTGACACACACGAGCTGTGCGTTTTTTGTTTGGGAGAAGAGCACGCACGGGAGGTTCTCGAGGGAACCTTCTGTGCAAACTGCGAGCATTTTTCTCTTAAAATGCTCCGCTCTCGTCTGGCCCTCTTCTCGAGTGAAGGGGGCTCAGCATCTGTTCCTCGTGGTGCAGGTCCCGCTCGTGCTGAGGCCGAGCGGCGACTTTTTTAATCATGGGGTTCTCAGATGGAGCTTGTCGATCACCTTGAGAGGGCTGTAAACCTCTCAGATGATTCGACGGCTGACGAGAGCGAACAGCAGGTCGATGATGGGGAAGATTACTCACCGACTGTACCTGCAGTTGCGGCTCTTCCGGACGCGCAGGAGATGGTTGGGGAGGTTTATGATCAGGAAGATCTTGAACCTCCTCAGCCACCCTGCCCCATGTATGCTGAGCTGGTGGATGTTATGGAGCGCGCTGCTGACAGGCTGCAGTTGCCTTGGCAGTGCGCTAGAGGAGGGGCCGCTCGCGGAAGGCTCGATGATCGGTTTCTCCCCGGCCATACACCACCAGCTCGGGTGAGCCCTCCATTCCTTCCTGATCTACACATGGAGATCGAGAAGGCATGGAAGAACCCATACTCTGCACGTATTCAGTGTCGCCTCTCGTGCGCCCCCTCCCTCAAGGAGCAGGTCGCAGAGGAGGCGTGACTCCCGCCACAGAAGAGATTTGAGGGAGGTTATCCAGAACAAACGCTCACGGCGTCGGTAATGGATAACCTCCCCGGAGGGTCACGACTTCTGCCCTCTCTCTTCTGACCCCCAGGCGTTCATTACATCAGGCCTTGGGATGGGCCTATGATGAGAACTATGTTCTGATGGCCCAACCGGGCCTGGTTGGTGGAAACGCCCCTTTCAGGCATGTAAAGTGGCGGTTCCCAGGTTCGTATAGAACTTCTGGCGAGTCTTCACTTTGCACGCCGCAGGTGAGCTGCTGGTCTTTTCAAGGAGTTTATTTTTTGTGATAAAAAATAACATATTTCTCTTTACAGACCTCGTTCCCTGTATAAAGAGTTATGGGGTCAAGTCAAGGTAATTAAGGTAAGATAACTTTATTGGATTATTAGGGCCCTGAAGTTCCCCGTTAGGTGGCCTGAACGATAACTATGTTAGCCTTTGGGCTGTTAGCCACCTCAGGGTAGAGTAGTTGGTCTCTCTCTGATAGTATGTTTTACTTAGAGTGTTGACTGACGCTAGAGCTTCAGAGAGATCTTATGTCCGGCCCATGGGACCGTTTTGACTTTTCTGAGTATTTCGCCCCTTGAGCTCTGTTGAGTTTTCATTAGGGTGGGCGTTCTGCAGCCCTTTGTATGGAATAATACAGACTATATTCTTTAGTAGGCTGTGGCTCCTCTGAGCCCTCAGATAGATCTATGCTTACAGGTTGGCCCTCACCAGGGCCGCCTCTGTAGCTGGCCTAGGCTGTGCCAGGGATATTAGAGGTGTTCTGCTAAATTAGCATTTCTTCCTCTGACCCTTCACTTTGTGAATGTAGGTTTTTGGACATCCCTGTATATCAGCCTCCTCCCATGGAAGTCGTTAGGCCAAGGCCCGCCCCCTTCTCTGCATTCTGGGGTGACTAGAGTAATGCAGCGTGGTGCAGAGGATGGTTTATAGGGACATGGTAGGCCTCAGTTAGGCCTCCGTGGTATATAAGTCCTTTTGAGCAGGGTTAGGCCGTCTTTCGCTTCACGAAGAAGACTGAGTCTCCTGCCCGACCCTGCCGTGCAGAACTGGCCTACGGATTTAGGCCGCCAGTATGGGCTTCACTTACCTCGCTGAGCTACTGCTCGAGCGCCGGGTTGTAGGTGGATGGCTTTCATTCAAGCCCCACTACCCTAGGTTGGGCACAGTTACATTTCTGTCACCCCTAGAGCCGCTGGCAGGCCCGCCCCCTCGTAACCTCAGGGTGAGGTGTGAGTATTCCCCTGTGATTCAGGGTAGGTCTGAGTACTTCACTCCCAGTTCTGTTTATCCTACCTCGCACCACTATGGCTCGGGTCGAGTATGAAGTAAGCCTTCACTTCTTCTTTGGTCAAAGTACGCTCCCCTGTAGCCAGAGCATTGCCCTGAGCTGACGCCCATGCATAGATGGTAGGCCCCTGACTAACTGGGGCCTCCGTTGAGGCAGAGTGACGTATGTTGTACTCCCCTTGTTTAAGGGTGCTAAGCTCTCTTGCTGAGCACACTGCCGTGGGCAATGTGATTAGGCACCAGGATACTGTAGGCGCTGTGTAAACAGCTTTTCTGCCAAACGAAGGCTGCGCCATCAGGTAGTAGGCCTCAGCAGGCCTCCTTGTATGAGCAGCCCCCAAGAGGGCGCTATAGGCTACTTCTCGAGAGAATTGGTTGGCCTTGGTGGTTCGGGCAGTTGACTCACCGGTGGGTAGTAGGCCTTAAACAGGCCTCCTCGGAGGTGAGTCCCAACATTGTGGGACATACTTTATAGCCGCTACAGGTAGCTAGCCTTACTAGGCCACCTGTGGGTGGGCCCAATAGTTACGTTGGTGTAGTGTGGTTCCCAACAGTGTTCATTTGTAGCAGAATTGACTTGTTATCAGCTAGTAGGCCCAACCAGGCCTCCCTGATAGGCGAGTCCCCAGCTGGCTGGCCTCAGCAGGCTGCCTTGGAACTATCACCCGGACTCAGCTACCAGTTGCTATCAGGTAGTAGGCCACTCAGGCATCCCTGAAAGTGAATTCCCATTTAAGATGGTTATCAGGTAGTAGGCCTCGCCAGGCCTCCCTGAAGACGAGTTCCCACATGCTGTGATTATCAGGTAGTAGGCCTCACCAGGCCTCCCTGAGGGTGAGTTCCCCACGTACTATCATTATCGGGTAGTAGGCCTCTCTAGGCCTCCCTGTAGGTGACCACATATTGTTGCTATCAGGTAGTAGGCCTCTCCAGGCCTCCTTGTAAGTGGTTCCCTAGCGGTGCTGGGTTCAGGAAGCTAGTGGCTTCTTGCTATCATTTCAGCTGGCCTTATCAGGCAGCTGCTGAAGGCAAGCTTGTGCCCTGGCTCGACTAAAGTATTCATTCTCTGCTACTGGTTCCCTCCCGGAACCTCTTTCCTGCCTACAGCCTGGTTTTGCCTACCAGGGGGACTATATGCTCCCCTCATTGAGGGTCACGGTGAGCACGCGGACTCCTGAGTCTGGTCAGACGGTCGTAGGCCTCTCGTTAGGCCTCCCAGTTAGATCAGTCCTTTAGGCCTTCACAGGCCTCCTCAGTGTTTTGAAACACAGACACTGGGTTGATCCGTGGATCGAGTAGAGGAACTCCCCTCGCTAGCAAGGGTTGGAAAGCACTATGCTGAGTCATACTCTCCGGGATATCCCATCTCTGAGATCCGGGCCGAGTGGTTCACTGCCAGCTTCGTAGTCCCTCGGGTTTGGATGCCTTACCTAAGGCAAGTGTCCAGAGGCTCTGTTTTCGAACAGACAGGAAGTGGCCAGACTAAGTGTCTATGCTCTGACGCCAGGTCAGGCCGTCCTGGTGGCACTTCGGGGTGAGTACGTTCCCCTGAATAGTGACTGGCTGGGGTTCCTTCGGGTTCCCTAGCCACATTCCCTAGATGGGACCCCTTCTAATTGAAGTTGTGGTCCTAGGCCTTTGAGCAGGCCCAGGTAGGCCTTTCATTTAACCACGTTTATGGAGGTTTTCCTGCTAGGCTTATAGCTTGGGCTATGACCGTAGGGAATGCTGTCACTGACAGCCCAGTGTGACCTGACGGTGAGTGGTTCTAGCGTTTCATTTGAAATTGCTGGTTCTGACAGTTGTCACTGCCTTTGGGCATGCACTCCCTCAGCATGGCGGAGTGGGTATTTCGTTCCCCATAGCGTCGAATGACGTATTGTTGAGTTCCCTTCGAGAGGGAACGTCTCAGGTTACGACTGTAACCTTTGTTCCCTGAGAACAGGGAACGAGACAATACGTCTCCCTGCCATGCCTCGGGGCTTGCCTGCCGTAAAGTCCCTTCAGACGATAAGGTGATTTGTCATGTTTGCAAGGCGGCCTTATATACTTCCAGGTCGCACGTTAATCATTCACGCTAATGATTCACGGGCTGTCGCCGGTCAATATGATTGACGTGATTTGATAGTGATTTCAGACACCTGTCACGCCTGAGGCGTTCCCCATAGCGTCAAATGACGTATTGTCTCGTTCCCTGTTCTCAGGGAACAAAGGTTACAGTCGTAACCTGAGACGTATTGTGTGGATGTGGCCTTAGTGTATTTACTAGTGTCATATCAACACTATAGTGAACAATCTTTGGATGATATCACTGAACATTAGTAAACAACAATCACAAAAGTAAATTTCTTACTTACAATTATTTAATGCTGATCTAACCAGCAGAAGACACTAGCAGGGTTTAAATCCCAGTTGTGCAGATGGGGCATGCTGTCCTGCTCTCTAGATAATGAACTCTGAAAAGATCTGAGATCCAGCCTGTCACTGTATATAGAAATGTTTGCTAACTCTAATCTAACATAATCTGACTGAGTGTGAGACAAAGTAAACTATTTTCCATTCAATGTCTTCAGATTAAAGTGATGTGATGAAACGATGAACACACTCACCTGATACTGTCAGTGTAACTCCATCACTGATCTCTGAGTTCTGTGGGGTTTCAGTCTGAGTTCCTCTACATCTGTACAGACCAGCATGAGATGGATCCACAGATGTGATTATATAGATCTGGTCTTGTCCTGCGCTGTAATAGATTTGGCCTGTTCTTCTGCTGTTAACTTGATCTTTATACCAGCTGTACCTCCAGACTCCTGTCTCCTGTATGACACATGTGAGAGTGACTCTCTCTCCTCTGAACACACGGACATCAGGCTTCACCTCCACTACAGGTTTGGGTCTCTCTGTGAAATGAGAAAACACACACTTCACGTATTTTTCACAAAAAAAACAAACAAAAAACAACAAAAAAAACTACAAAGTAAAAGAGCACTTACCTCTCACTGTTATCTTTATTGCATCACTGAACTGTGTGTAGTATTTTCCTCGCTGTGCTCTACACCAGTATGTTCCTCCATCAGAGACTGTCACAGAACTGATAGTTTTAGTTCCTGCATCATCACTGGATTCAAGGTTTGAGTTTTTCCTCCAGTGAAACGTCCATCCAGTTGAGCTTCCCACGTCACAGCTGAGAGTAACTGTGTCTCCAGTGAACACTGAACTCTGGGGCTTTACAGTCAGAGTCGGTTTATATGTAAGTGAACAGTGATGCAGTGTTGAGCTCATTTATAGAGTTATTGCTCATATTTTTCAAAGTTCTTTTGTTTTTATCATTCTTTTTTTATACAGTAAACTAATTTATTTAGATTTAAATGGGTGTTTGTATTTTCTGCTCCCAGTGACACCAAACAGAATTACAAAGATTGATTGAAATGATTTTGAGAAGGAAATCCCAGAGATTTCAAAGAATAATGTTAAAGTCTCTGGTAAGTTCAGGGAATATTAGTTATAGTTCAGAGTAATAACAGGTTATGCAACTGACCCGGGTAAGTTTACGGATGAGTAAATGGATAATCTAAACTTTTTAACTTTTGTATAATAAGCATAAAATATGATAAATATCATCAAACAACAAATGCTGAAGCAAAAAGGCTAAACATAAAAGAATAAACTTATTCAGCCATTTTATATTTGCAAGCACAGATTGTTTTTAGTTAACTCAATCTTTTTTTTTTTTTGAAAACAACAATAACAACATCATTCTTGTTCACAGTAATATTCTTTTCAATAGTTTGATCAGTAATAAAAAAAAAAACCTGATTAAAATGTAAACAATTATTTAAATAATAATGATTGCACAACCACCCAGTAGGCGACGCTGATTCTTAGTGTGTGTTTTCATGGATCTGCGTCTCATTTCGAAGCTTCATCCTCTTGACGTCACATTTATCGGCCGCATACGTCATAAAGAACGTCTTATTTCAGGACAGTAACCATTATAAAACGTACTCGGTTACGTACGTGACCTCGGTTCTCTCTAGAAGAGGGAATGAGTATTGCGTAAGTTGCTTACGCTACGGGTAAAGTAATCTTTTCTCAAGATATGAAGCCAAAAAACTATCCTTAATTTTGTATATATTGTCAACGCAGTGCAGCAGCTAGCAGACCTAGAGCAGGCTGTCCAGCGTGTTCATTGGCTGCCTTGCGGCAACTGCAGCAGCCTACCACTGAGCCTGGCATGACGTCACGCCCAATGAGACTACACGTCACAGCCCGCCAGAATGGGTGTGGCTTAGCGAATAAAAGTGAGGCTCGGAGGCAGCTTCCCTGTTTTTCATCGACTGAAGCGAAAGTCGCTCATGGCGCGAGCACGGCAGGTTACACAACATTCTCTTACGAGAGGTTCTCTCGTATTGCGTAAGTTGCTTATGCTATGGGAACCCCTTGTCAACGACGTGCGCACCAAGCATCCACTTCACGGGTCCCAGGGAATCCCGGGGAACATAGATAAGTGGGAATCAGGCGGCCAGCAACGCGGGACGGCACATGTACATAAGCACCCATACGGAATACAGAGCAGCGTTGCCGGTGTACATAAAGCATATCAACCCATATAGTGCAGCTCAACCAGGAGAGCTAAAGTCACGTGAGAGTAGTCTGCACACGACCAGATCTGGGCAGAAAATACACCCCACTCATACTGACAGAAGTCTAGCCTGCAAGGCGGGAACTTCCAGGTTATAGAACCTAACAAATGTGGACGGGGAGGCCCAGCCTGCCGCCTAACAAATGTCATGAATGGAAATCCCGCTGGACCAAGCCCACGATGAGGCCACGCCTCTGGTGGAATGAGCCCAGATGCCCAGAGGGCATTGCAGACCTTTAGACACATAAGCATTCGCTATAGCGTCCAATATCCATCTGGACAGGCTCTGTTTCGAGGAGGCGAGACCCTTGGTGCGCCCACCAAACGAAACAAAGAGCTGCTCCGAGCACCTGAAAGGGGCGGAGCGCGTAATGTAAGTCCTCAGCGCCCTGACAGGGCAGAGGAGATTAACATCACTCTCGCTATCGGATGCTGGCAGAGACGATAGAGAAATGACCTGCACTCTGAAAGGAGTGCCCATCACCTTCAGGACATATCCATGTCTTGGCTTGAGTATGACTTTAGAGACATTTGGTCCAAACTCAAGACACGCAGCGCTAACGGATAGCGCGTGTAAATCCCCCACACGTTTAACTGATGACAGAGCTGTCAGAAAAACGGTTTTGAGCGAGAGGTACTTTAGATCCAAGGAATTTAGTGGTTCAAAGGGGTATGCTTTCAGGGCCTCTTGGACCAAAGAAAGATCCCACATGGGAACCGACGGGGGTCGCGGGGGATTCATCCTCCTGGCTCCTCTAAGGAAGCGGATGACCAGCTCGTTCCTTCCTATTGACTGGCCGTGCGTCGACTCAGCGAAGGCTGCAACAGCCGCCACATATACTTTAAGCGTGGAGGGGGACATGCCCTTGTCCAACAGCTCTGGAAGGAAGCTAAGCAACCACGAGACCCCAGATTTCTAGTATCAGCACACCATTTGGAGAACACAGACCATTTAGACGCGTAGAGCCGCCTCGTAGAGGGAGCTCTAGACTGCGTAATCATGTTCATAAGACAACGGGTGTTGTTTTGGCAAGACAACGGGTACCCGTTGATCAACCATACGTGCAGAGACCAGAGATCTGGATGGGGATGCCAGATTGAGCCGCGGCCTTGAAAGAGTCACCGGAATTGGCCAAGGGACTGTGCGTGACAGCCATCAGCTCCGGGAACCAGATTTGGTTCTCCCATCGTGGGGCTATAAGGAGCACTGAGTGGCACGTTTCCCTGAGTCTCTTGATTACCTGTGGCAACAGTGAGACCGGAGGGAAAGCATAAATTGGGTTGCTGGGCCAGATTGGGGCTAGCGCATCCTCGTTCTTCGAAAAGAACAGCGGGCAGTGAGCGTTGTCTTTTGACGCAAACAGGTTGACTTCCGCTTTGCCGGAAAGGCGCCATAGCAACTAGACTGTCTGGGGGTGCAGGGACCATTCCCCTGGGGGAACGTTGTCCCTGGACAGTTTGTCTGGGCCGTCGTTCAGGTGGCCTGGCACATGCGCGGCTCTCAGCAAGCGCAGTGAGTGCTGAGACCAAACGAGGAGGCGTTCCGTCAGATCGCAGAGATTCCTGGATCTGACACTGCCCTGACGGTTCACGTGTGACACCACAGACATGTTGTCTGAGCGGACTAGAACGTGGTGGTCTCGTATGAGAAAGCGCATCAGCGCGTTGTCGACCGCTATCATTTCCAGACAGTTTATATGAAGGCATTTCTCTCGGTCGGACCACAGGCCAAAGACCGGTCTGCCCCCGAACAGAGCGCCCCAACCTAAGTTTTGACCATTTTTTTGCAGTTTCCTCATGGGAATGTAATGGTCAGTTTACTGAGATGAAGAGCCTCATGACGTTTGCGGCAGATAAATGTGACCTCCGGAGGATTCAGCCTTCGAAACGACACAGCCGGAGACTCCAGGATTTGAGAATCTGTTGAGATTCAGAATGTTTTTGTGTTGTTCACCATGAGCTCTGAGTGACTGAACTTACTCACAGCGGCCTTTCTGGAGCCCATAACCACGAGTAAGAAAGGTTTAGAGTTCAGGGTTTATGGGATGGGAAGTTAAACCTGCTTTCGGGAACAATCTCTGTCACTTTACTGTTACTGGTTTAGATGTTAAATATGAGCAAAAAGGACTAAGAAAAAAATTAGCCACCCGTATTGGTATCGGGCCCAATAATGCGCTCTCATATTCCAGCCCGTTCTCATCCTTTGGCGTCATACATGTGACGCTTGTACATTTCGTTGAAATCTTACGCACATGGCATCCTTTAGCATCAATATGAGACGCAGATCCCAAGGCGTCATACAGGTGACGCGCGTGTAAATCCAACGCACATGGCATCGTTTAGCGTGAATATGAGACGCAGATCCCAAGGCGTCATAACCGTAACCCGACCCCAGACCTAAACCTACCCATAACAGTGCGTGTTATATTGACGCTAAAGGATGCCATGTGCGTAAGATTTCGACGAAATGTCATATGGCGTCACCTATATGACGCCAAAGGATGAGAATGCGTTGCATATTCATACTCATAAAAATGCTCCGATACCAACCGATACTATGCAGAGTGTTTGTGACTGTTTCTCCAGTGAATACAGGACTGCCTGGTGTCACAGTCACTGTAGATGTGGGTAAATCTGTGAAGAAACACAAATATGTCAATATTTTATGTCAACTAAATGGTTTCATGAAAATTCCTCTGAGAACTTTCAGATCTTATAGATTCTCCATAAACTCACTTTATTTCTACTAGTAAATGCAGTGATTATTTAACCTGCTCCCTTGTGTTTGAGAAGTGATTTCTGTTAAACATCTGTAGTTTATTTTCCTCTGTAAAACTCAGTAAAATGATCCTGTATGTCAGCTGTGAAATAACTGGAGTCTGAACTTTCTGTCTCTGTTTCTGGTCACAATGTTCAGAGTTTTGACAGTCTTTATATTTCTCCTGCAGAACATCAGTGATCAGAGATGACTAAACTTTAAGTAAACAAAGGCTGTGTGTTTTATTTCTAAACTGTGTCTGGACAGGATGATGGAGAATAAAATACTCTTCTTTGTCATGATTATGTCATATAGACTCATTTGACTCATTTTATGACACATATATGGTGCTTTTGTGTCCTTTTTGAACACTTAAAGTTGACCATCTCATTATTATATCGTTTAGCACATAATAAAAATAAAATCTAAAGAAGAAAAATATACAGATTTGGATCGACCTGAGGGAGATTTAATTATGACAGTATTATTATTTTCAGATGAGCTAATGAAAGTTCATCAATTGTCTATCAAACATTAGAATTAAGATTAATTTGACAGGATCATCTGAAAATCAAAGCAATAAAAACTTCAGTAAGTGCACAAAAACATATTTATGGAAATATGTAAAAATATTTCTAAATTAAAGTGTATAACGGCCTAGCCTGGTCCCACCAGACTCTCGTATATTTCATTTGTACATTGAGTCTGGCACCGCTCCATTGACAAGCGTTAACGTTCCTTGTAGGCGGGTACTCGAAGTCTAAAACTATTGGATCTGCCATAACCAATCGCTAACGTTTGGTCGTGACGCATGTCATGCGGCGTAACCGGCCGGAAACACGTATCCGCACAGGCTGTAAACTACAACCATCCCCCATTGGAATGATCAGAAGAGTGTGTTAAGAATAAGATATCTGTCAACGAGAGCTGCAGGTTTTGTTCGTCGAATTTAAGAAGTAACGGAACAATTGTAAATTCTAATTTTATATTTGACACTATACATTAGACTGTATACATTATCACTGTCCTTAATGTATACACCACTAACGGAGTGAGCTGGAAAATCAAACTTTTCCCGAACCCCGGGGGGAGGAGGGCCACAACATCATGGCTACCAACAAAACTAAGCAAAGATTGTTCTTGCTCCGGCTTTAACTTCTTGATATTCGGCAGCATTGCCAATGGTACGAATGGCTTCGCTCGCATCTTTCTCCGCTGCCATTACTGAACTACAACTCAAAATAACACACGACATCAACGTCATCGTTCTCAGACACTCCCTCTGTTCGCTGATTGGCCCGGTAAAAAATTGATCGGAAAAGAAAAGTCTACAGCAGAATCCCAGACGTAGTACTGAAGGAAAATGAAAATTGAGCTGAAGTATGTAGGAGGGCGGAGGCAGGCTAATAACGGCCATCAACACAGACCTGAGAAACAGCGTAAAAAGTGCTGTTCACACATGCGTCAGACAGATGTCTTTATCTGTTGTAAGATCACACTTCAAGTAAAATACTTCAGCTTTTAAAATGTATTTTCAGATCTCTGCATTCAGTTTCATTCAGTTGTGCACCATCAAGTCTGTACACAAACAATTAAACAGATTTAAACCCTCAAAAGAGAGATGGACTGTAACGCTCAGACAGTCAGACTAAAGCACAGCATTTGTGCAAAGATTCACAGATTTCCAGTAAGTCCAGGCAGCAATAAATTAATTAAATACAAAAATATGTTTTTGGAAGTATTTTAGCTGCTGGTTCATATCATGTGCAATGAGCGCTGTGTTTTTATGATGGCGTTAAAATACTTTACAATAGGTTTTAAGAACTCTGCATTCAGTTCTGTCTTGCTCAATCTAACAGTTTTGAACACAAGAGCACGTCATCTGTGAGATAATTAAACAGGATTAACCCTTTGAGAACCGCATAATTAGTGTGAACGTAACATCTGAGTCAAAGACTCTCGATTAGATGTGTGATCATCACTGATCATGAATAATAGAGAGTTTATGAGAACTATGATGTTGAACTCACCCTTCACAGAGAGAGAAACATCATAGCTTAATGTTGATGAGATTGGTCTTCCATCTATGTGTCCTCTACACCAGTACTGACCCTGATCAGACTTAGTAGCTCCTCTGATAGTGACAGTGTCTCTGTTTACAGTGTAACGCTCAGACTTCTGTAACTTTACACTGTCTTTATACCACTCATATCTCCAGTTACTGTGATCAGAGTTTATCACACACTTCAGATTGACTGTTTCTCCAGTGAATACTGGACTGCCTGGTGTCACAGTCACTGTAGATGTGGGTACATCTGTGAAGAAAGACAAAAACATAAACACTCAAACAGCTCTTTCAGGGAATAAAACTGATTGTTCAGAAGGACCTTCGGTCGTAAACGCTGGTTGTAAATGGGAATGTTGCCTCGTATAAACCCTGCAATGAATGAACTGTTAACCATCACTATTGTGTCTTTGAAAAAAGCATTTGACCAACAGTTTCCAGAGGGATTTTCTCTAGTTCATGGTGCCATTCTGTGACAGAAATACATTACACTGGTCTTGGTCATATGGTGATAAATACTTTTGGAAAAAGGTAGAGAAAGTTCGCAAACCAGAGCTCCAAAAATGTAAATATATTTATTTCATATTCTCACCACAGGTGACATTAAGTCTAATGGTCATTGAGAATATGAAATACATGTTTCTATTACTGGAGCTGTGGTGTGCCAACTTTCCCTTCCCTTTTGCAGTTTCTGTGGTTGAGCTCCCTCACTGAGTTTGTTTTGCCCGCTGGATGTGTGCATTTTGTGTTGAACATTTGTGATAAATATACTTTTACCACAACCAGCTAACAGGAAACTTTGTGGTACTTTGACTAACAGTGGGCAGTGGAGATGAGGGCTGGAAGACAGGAGAGGGAGGTTGGGCAGGAGTTCAGGAAGATAGGGACTGGAGTCGTTTTCAGTCTTGGGGCAAAGACTAGTGCTGCGTTCCAGTCCACTTTTAGACACACACTTGCAAACTTCCCTAAGCACTTCCCCTCTGGGGAATCCCTGCCGCCATTTTGAAGTGCGTTCCTCTTCGTGAAGTGGATGAGGGAAGTTTATATGGACAGACCCTCGCTCCCTCGATTTTGACAGAGGGACCCTTCAGACAGCTCCAAATTTGGACTGGAACGCACCATAGGGACAGAGGCGTGGCAGCAGCCATCTTGACTGAGGGCTCAGGAGGCTTGGCGACGGCCATTTTGGGATGAGGCTCTGTAGTGGCAGTCTCGGCGGGACGAGACAACGGTGACTGGTAGTGGTGTCTTCACCAACCTCACCAACTGTGAGGGAAGAACCACTCAACCATACCACATAATAAATATACAGGGTTGCCAACTTTGGGATTTTGGCTGGAGTGAGACTGTAAAATTTCAGTGCGCGCACGGAGAAATTTTTTTGGTAACCCTAACCCTAATTTTAAAAAATGTCAGTCCTTGTTTACTTAGTATAAACCCTGATTTGTGCAAAAAAAAAAAAAAAAAAGGAAACGTTTTTTTCAAAATGTACAATTAATTTAATGATTTCACTATAAAAAAAATAAAGATAGAGGTAATTAAATAACAAATAACAAACATTTAAAACAACAACATCTAAACAATAAGAAATCTCAAAACAAAAGGGACACATAATAGTTACTCCACCTCCCCAGAAAACCACAACACACAAGTTTCACAAATTAGGCCTGCTACAGTGGCAGTTCGGCCTGATCACTGCCTCTGCAAGAGCTCTGCATCTGTAGCAGGGTTCGATCCGTTCATGAACAATCCGTTCATTGCATCTGTCATGTGACAAATTAACGAAATACTCGGAAGGTAAAGTAATTATTTATGTTCCCTGTAAATTATTTTTTACTGCATTATAATGATTTCTTAATTCAGAATATGATCAAGACTGCGTAGGTGGATGTGTTCGGGGAATTTGACTGTTAAAAGTATAACATTTAAAGCCCTTCAATTTGCTTTAAATGAACGAAATGACTCGAAAAAAGATTCGTTCATTTTAATGAACGAGATCGAACAAGCGAGTCAGTAAAATGATCCGAACTTCCCATCACAGTGTGCCATCACGTGACAGTCTGTGGTGTCAGTCTTGTTTAGGCCAATAACTGAAAAGGTTCGCTCAGCATCCGCATTTGAGTGTGGCAGGCTCAACACAATCTGGACAACCTTTGATAATTTGGGGAATTTTAAAATGCCACTTGCCCGATTTGCCAAAACGTAATTTGTACCATGAGCCTATTTTTATTGAGCAATTAGCAAGCCCACATAACGCACTTCAGACAACGTTTGTAACTATAGTTGACGTCTGTACTCTCGGCACACAGACTGATAAGGCAAGGCTACGACACTAGTGACAAGGCACACCATTTTATTATCTGCTTACCTTGATGGTCATTCAAACTTTCAAATGTGCATCAGTGGGCTCCGACTCCGAACCTATGCTCTGAACCCTCTCTGAACTTTTCACACCGCAACTGACGTGTATCAGGTGCAAGGTTTTCAGCGAATCAACGATCAGAGAATACTGCCGTGAGAACGCTGTAGGCAGATGTTACAGCTGTGGGCCTTAAGCTCCTCTCCTGTCATTAATACGCTGTGGTCTAGTCATCAACAAAAAAATAACGGATTGAGAGGGGAGAAAAATGGATTTTGGCGTGACATTTCTTGCGTGTGCGTGAGAGCGTGAGATTGATGCTGAAAGCGTGAGTGTCACGCCAGATGCGTGAGAGTTGGCAACCCTGAATATAATGAGCCAGAGAACATGTGGTAGCTACAGCGGGTACTTGTTGATACAGGTGATTATCTACCCACACCAAAAGAGGGGTTTTAGTGTGCCCTCGCTCCAGGGTACTTCACGCGCGTGATCGGTAAACAATAGGCTGTGGGAATTATGTGAAGTGATATCCTTTTGCGGTAAGTGTTATGTAAGATGGCTAGAAAGTTGTAATGGAAAGATTATTACATCTCGCTTCCTTTAAGGCGTGGGTCTTCCCTCTCGTCCTCCGGACGGGTTTTCTGGTCTTCGTCACAATCTCTCTCTGTATCGGCCGTGATTATAGGCTTCGTGGGAATCTGAGCCCCTCTCGATAAACTGCAGTGTTCGTGCTGCTTTCCATCTCGCTGTGAATCGTCGCGGGTCGACGCGCTCGTTGCCGGGATTGTAGGCCTACTGTCTACCTTCTGTTTTCCTTTCTTTGAGTTCACGAGAGAAGTATAATCCGAGTGATAGTGTGCGCACTAGTGTGCGTGGGTGGGTATGCGTGTGTGCTACATCAGCTCTATATTTTGCTATTCTTCCTAGTATAACCATCTGTGTTTTTGTTTCATTTAAGTGTGTGAGTGTTTGCGTACGTGTGCGTTTCATTAGTTTTGTTTATTCTTTCTTTGCTTTTAATTACGTGTAAGTGTAAGCAGGTCTTTGGCGACCTTGATTATGTGTATTTGTGTGTTTGGCCTTATCGTTTTTGGTTATTTTTAGAGTTGTACCAAACCCAGCTGTTTGTTTCTCCCCAGGAACTGAGGTGTCTCGGCGGAAGGACCGTTTCTTGCATTGTGGTGGTGCTGCAGTGGGTGACACTTTTGAAGTGCCTGTGTGTGATCTAAATGTACGGTGACATGTGGTGTGTGCGTGAGTAGGATCGTGCGTTTGGAAAAGCCTTAAAGTGGTCCTTCCGCTGGTAGCCTCAGCCTGGTTGGTTGGTTTTCTTTTTTTTCTTTCTTTTGGTTTGTCTTGTGGTTAAGAAAGCAGATTTTCCCTGAAGCTCCTCCTACCCTTGTGGGTAGAGGACTTATGTTATATGAGCCATTAGTGCTGCCCCCTGAGATCTTTTTGTCGTCAACGGTTTTCATGTGTACATGTGTTGAGTGCCTTTGCTTTTAAAACGAGAGTATTGTTTTTATAAATTTTTGTATTTCAATAAAATATTATTTGTAATCACATTGTACTTACCTCTCTGACCTCCCTGGCACACATGAACCTGTGTGGCCTAGTATAATTACTGGGTCTATTCCCTGATTGATTCAGGGTGGCGTAGTCGACAAGTATCACCATATTTTAACTCATAATTAAGATCCTAGACCGCTTATTGCCACATAGTCCTCGATCAGCCAACCATCTTGAAAGCAGGTGAGAAGAAAGTTAACTGGGTTTTAGTAGGGAGGTTAAGTGACTTTTGACTTCAAGTCATGATGCAAAGGTCCCCTTTGGTATGGAAGTACCTTAGGGCCATAGAAATAAATTTATCCTAAGACACAAGTGAGATCACATTTTGTATCTTATATACACACATTTTTTAAAAATGGCCGCCGACCATACTTGAGAGGCCCATATCTTTGCTTCTGTCATAGCTATAATGACAAATTTGGTATCAACGGGTACATTTTTGTGGTCAAGGAGTCCAATAAAATAGGTTCCAAGACTAAAAAACAATAATGTTGTCCTTAACATGACAATTGGAGGTGAAGTATGCAATTTTTTATTAAAAAACGCATGCCAAACACACAGTCCATTCACAACTTAATAATTTCTTCGTTTAGGTCTGCTTCGCATGCGCCCTTTACAGCACTGGCTGAAGACGTGGGTCCTGCGTCGAGCATGGGCATCCGGTCGTTTACGTCTCAAGGTAACTCAGAACTGTGTCACAGCTCTGGAGCCCTGGAAGGCGGTCGACTGGTATCAGACAGGTGTAAACCTGGGAGTAATCTCTAAACTGATAGTGGTTTCGACAGACGCCTCCAATTCGGGCTGGGGCGCCCTCTATGAGGGCAGACCGACTTTTGGCCTGTGGTCAAGCCAAGAAAAGAGCTTGCACATAAACTGTCTAGAGATGAAGGCGGTCGAGAACGCCTTGCGGTTCTTCCTTCCCCTTCTAAAGGGCCACCATGTCCTTGTCCGCACGGACAACATGTCGGTGGTTTCCTACATAAATCGCCAGGGCAGTCTGAGATCACGGAACCTTCATGCACTGGCAGAACGCATCCTTGTATGGGTTCAGCACCCATCACTGGCCCAGCCCATCACTGGCCCAGCCCATCACTGGCGGCTGGGCTGCCCATCACTGGCCCAGCCGCCCTCTCTATGCTTTCCCTCTGATCATGCTGTTACCACAGGTAATCAAGCCTATAAGGGAGAACGGTTCCTGTGTACTTCTAGTAGCTCCGTTCTGGCCGAACCAAGTTTGGTTTCTGGAGCTGATGCAGCTTCAGAGCTTGCCTCCGTGGCCTGTCCCATTGAGGAGAGATAATGACAATGACAATGACAATTTA